GGATGGATGCACACGCAACCAAACGAGCTTCCTCAGTTGTCACCACAGGTTTGTACCTTGGACTTCATTTTGTGCTATTTATACATAAGGGTATTTTAGTCATTTTACCAATTGTATGAATGAATTGATATGGTACAGGACCTTACTTTTCATGCACGGATATTGGAGAACAACAAGCAATGGGACGGAGAGAAATCGATCATATTGACTTGCAGTTTTACTCCGGGGTCATGCTCATTAACTGCGTATAAGCTGACACCAACAGGGTATGAATGGGGGCGTGCGAATAAAGATACCGGAAGCAATCCGCATGGTTATCTGCCAACTCATTATGAGAAGGTTCAGATGCTTTTGAGTGACCGTTTCCTCGGTTTCTATATGGTAAGAAACATTTGCTTATGTTGTTTCAATTTTGAACACTCGTTAAAGAGTGGGGTTTATTTTTATGATGTATTTAACTTGATTTTGTATAGGTGCCTGATAATGGGCCGTGGAATTACAACTTCATGGGAGTGAAACATACGGTTAGCATGAAGTATGGGATAAAGCTGGGGACTCCACGGGAGTATTATCACGAGGATCATAGGCCGACACATTTCTTAGAGTTTAGCAATCTGGAGGAGGGTGATGTAGCTGAGGGGGACAGGGAGGATACATTCTCTTGAGTAAAATGTCGCCTTAAAACTTTTTCTTTTACCTACTGTCTTGTCAGCTTGTTATACATTATACAATGATAGTGTAAATAAGGATTTTGTTCTATGTTTCTTCTTGTTCTGTATCATCCACACATTATGGTGCTTACAAACCAATATTATTTCAAGGATGTTGACAATTGTGTGTTCATTGAGTGAGTGTGTGCTGGAATCCAAAGTTCATCAAGATGTTGGCCGTTTTTTTTTTTTTTTTTTTTTTTTTTTTGACTTTCTTGGATAAATCTCTTGAACTGTGTTACAGTTTCGTAGTCATCCAAAAACATTCAATTTTAAAAATATAAATTGTGAAATCTCTTATGGTCATGAAGGCTGACCTAGTAACATTTACAAAAAAACATTTTAGAAATCAGAATTGAACTTTAATCCAGTCTATTTGCTAAAACCCAATACAATCTTAGTCGAGTTACCTTAAAGGGGCCGAATGGAAGCTGGTCACCAAGCACAGCAGTCTGAACTTGATGATCTAAAACGGTTAGCCCAATCCAGTCTGAAAAGGCTAATGTAGCCTATCCAAATGCGCAACACTATTTATAGCTTCACTATAAAAAACGCCTATCATTATTTTGTCATGTTTGGTGACGACTAGAGGAGTACCGTTGCTGACAAACCTCTTTTAAACTTAGCTCAAAACACCAAGATGCCAGAAGTCGAGATATAGTCGATGCTATCAATATATAAACCAAAGAAGACATCCAAAGCCACAAAAGGGGATCCACATTTTCTGTTCATCAACTTGGAGAAAACATATGATTACAAACCATGAGAGACAATTTGTAGGATACTGGAAGCTAGGCGAGTTTTAGGAAGTTATGACAGTGCTATACATATAATGTTGTGTTTGGATTGCATCAAGACACTTTGCTTTAGGACTGTAGTGAATCGAACGTTCAACGAACCACTTATAAACCGCTCACACAAACACGATTTTTTGTTCTTTTGTTAATAATCATTTACGTTCTTTTATTTACGTTTGTTTATCTTTTTTGGAAAGCGAACTTCCCTAACGAGGGTTTCAGGACCAGCTTTCACGCACCGACTAATCTCCCGCTGCAAACATGAGGCTTTGCCTCATGTCCTGGAGTCATTGCAGGCGAACCTCTATGGCCACAAGGGCTGAGTAGTGCCAGGATTTGAACATGGGTCAATAGGTTATCCACCATATCTTCCATATGCCTTACCAAATCACCACAACCCAAATGGTTTTTATTTTTTTACGTTTGTTTATGTTCATATATGTTTGAGTATTTTTATTTTCCTAAGTCTTTTCTAGCAACATCTATTAACGGATTGATTTTTGTTCGTTTTATATACATATGGTTCTTGATTTGGATGTTTATGTTCATGGTCGTTTATATTTATATATGTTCGTTAAACATCTTAAAAGCATAAGCGAACAGAGAAGAACAAGGCAGTTCGTTAAACAAACGAACGCTAACAAGAAATTATGTTTAATTGTATGTGTTCGTTCGTTTATTCGGTTAACTTAACGAATAACCATGAACAAGCCCTAGTTTGTATTCATTAGGTTCGTTTACTGCCCTACTTAACCTATTTATCTTCACTTTAATATAGACGGGATTTCTCATGAGATTTAGGGAGAGGTGCTATATTATATGTTTTTCAGCTAACAACATTGTTTTGGTGATAGAGACTAGGATTGTGTTTTATATCAACTTGGATGCATAGAGGGCGACATTGGAAGAAAAAAAGGATTACAGATGAACACAATAATAAATAAGTTATCTATGATGTAATTTCTAAGGCAAAACGATAATATAAAACAGAGTATGTACCGGCGAGAAAGTTTTACTCCATAGAGAAAGCTTCAAGTACATAAGGTTTAGGATCAATCAGGAAGGAGGTATCAATGGACCTGCAACAACAACTAAAGAGGGTGAATACATTCCTTATTAATGATACAAGGAGAGGGACGTTCAATAAGGAAGTGATATTTAATTAGGGGAGTTCAGTTAAAACTGGATATCCGAAAATTCGGATAGTGAATTTTGAGTATCCGAATCTGTATCCAATATTTCGGATATCCGAAAATTCGGATACGGATTCGGATACAAAAATCGGATATCCGAAATTCTATGATTTTAGTTGTTATCAAATATCAAATTATTCAAACAAGCGTTGTTAACAATTACCTAATAAGTAATAACCTATTAATAGTATATGTGATAAATCTCAAATCAAATAATTAAAAAGCGCTTAAGATATTAGCGACAAAGAATATGATATTCACCTTTTTAGAGTAGCTTAAGTATCCATACGATTAATACTAAAAATCCAAAGTTAATAACATTGTATCAATGAAAGACATTTACCTATTTGAATTAAAAGCAACTAATGAAGCTACCAGATATAACAATAGCATCGCATATGTAAATAGCAATTGTGAGCTGAAAATAGAAAATATAAATAGCCTAAACATAATCTCTCGCAAAAAAATAGAACATGTAAACAATTATATACATCAACATATTTAAAAGGCTAAAATTTCTATAAGTTTCATTTCAAATAAAAATATCAACTATAATAAAAGAAAATAAAAATTTTATATTTTCGGATTTCGGATATCCGAACTATCTGGAAATTTAGAATATCACTATCCGTATCAAATCCAAAATATCGGATATCCGAAAATCCGGATATCCGAAATTTCTGATCGGATTTTCGGATTCAGTTATTTTTGAACACCTCTAGATTTAACAAATGAAACTTTAACTATATTTTGTTATAAATGAATAGTGTAGCTCTAAATTTAAAGTAATATTATTCACTAGATGTGAGACCCATGTATTACACGAGTTTTTTTAAAAATAAAATTTTAATATAAAGATATAAGCATTAAATATTTTATAAAGTAATACTTTATATAAACACAACGAATATAACGAGTAAAATAAATAATTCAATCTATACTAACACAAAATATATTGACATATTATAAATAATGATGTTGAAAAATAATGTGTAAACATTAAGCATAGTCATTAATTATAAATTTATATACACTTATTTATATATAACATTAGATAATTTTCAAAATCACTTTCTTGCATAAAAAACGAACAATCGTTATATATAACGAATTTTCTAATTTTTCGAACCTAGCATATCTATATTTCACGGTAACCTTATTTTGGTTAATTTCGATTCAATCGTTATGTTAGAGGGTTATATTAGAATGAGAGTATCTTCTTATCTCTTTGTAAATGATTAATGTAAATTATTTTATGTTAATAATTAAATTAATATACTAATATTTATAATAAAATTTAATTATGTATAAAACTGATTGGTCATTCACGTTGGATAGAACAAACTACAAAATTATCGACCCGTGATTTGAGGTTAATCATAACATATATACACGAACATTATGTGTAATGGAGCTAAATTAGATGTTTAAATTGGAAGGAAAGTTAACTTTACATAGAAATATTAGGTGGAAAAAGAAGAAAATAATTGGCAGTATTTATTCTAAAATTTAATACAATGAATCTAACATATATAAACCTTGTTAAAATATTAATTTAAAATTTAAGAAATTGGAAAACACAAGAAAATGCAAAGTGGAAAAAGAAAAAAATCTAAAGATCCCAGAAAATGACATGTGACAATTTTAAGGAGAACAAAACATTTGGCAAAAATTATTTTAGATAGATTACGTATCATAAAAAATAGAGTTGAGTCGAAGAAGTGTAACTGTATATTTTAAACAAACAAGAGAGTTAGGTTTGAGATGCGACTACTAAGCTAAAACACAACCACAATGTAACAACTGCTAATTATTATTTTCATGATAATCTATTTTTAATTACAATATGTAATGTATATTGTTTATCTCGGCATATGTTTGGCCTTATTTGTATTAGCACTTTATGTCCATATCATCTTTCTGGATGAAAAATACAAAAGTATGAAAAGGGGGTATTTACTATATCTTTCTGACATTTTCAGTCAGGCCCTTTAGCTTCCATCCAATTGCTCCATTTTCTATTCATCTCTGCTCTAATTTCCCTTGTTCCGTATTTACAGAAAAGACGTTCATTTAATCAGCTGTTACAGTTACAAATCTTCGATCTTTCATCATTTTACATTTGAGTACTTACGGTTACAGTAACAAACACTATATTAATTTGTTAAAGTATATTTAATTTGTAATTTTAGTACCCTATTGCTAACAATATTTTACATAAACTTTAGCGATGATTAACCAGTATATTAACAATTAGTATATTTTGTATAGCAAGTAACCAAAACGTGAAAACTATTTAACTAATGAAAAAGAACACGTAAAAATATTCCTAACAAATATCATAAAACATAATTTAAACAAAAATATACAAATTTAATTACAAGAAAAATACATCTACTGCTACTAACTAATTTAAAGTATAACTTTTACTTATAATGAAAATAGAAAAAATACAACTACCGTTAATAACTGAACTAAACCTCCACTATAACTAATTCCACCGTTCGCTAGACCCGGTTTACCTTCATTAGTTAAGGCAACGTGTTGCACCATTTGAGCCGGACCCGGTCTTGGCATATCACAATGATCAATACCCGAATCCGATAACGAGCCCAAGTCGGATCCAAACCCGTTTCGACCATCATAACAAAGCCCTAAGTTGTTTTCAAGCTTCAATTTTCTTCTCATTCTCCAAACGATTTCTTTGTCGAACGGAATCGGCCCCATCAATTGATTATCGTTCAGCCTGAGCTCGCTCAAACCGTTCACGTTCCGGAAACTTGTTGGAATCGATCCGTTTAAACGGTTCCGATCAAGGTGGAGGATTCGTAAGTTTGGTAATCGGGCTATTGATTCAGGTATTGGCCCGTATGAATCTGTATCCGAGAGGATTAAGATCATTAAGCTTTTAAACTTATCGAACGCGGTGGATGGAATCATGGAACTGATCGGGTTACCGTTGAGGATGAGAGCTTGAAGGGAATCTAAGTTGTTTAGGGACGTCGGAATTGGGCCGGAGAGGCTATTGTAGCTTAAATCCATCAAGATTAGACTCGTTAATCCGCCGATGGAATCGGGAATTACGCCGGAGAGTCGGTTACGGCTAAGATCGATTTTCATGAGGGAATCGCAGTTTCCGATTTCGGTCGGAATTGAACCAGTGAGGTGGTTTTGGTTGAGGTCTAGAATAGTGAGTTCAGGAAAGGCAAAGCTCGGAATCGAACCGGTTAATTTGTTACTACTTAAATCTAAAGACTTTAAACCAGTGAACAGGCTAAAAGAAACCGGAATTGAACCGTTTAGGTTGTTCTTGTGAAGATCAAGAACCCTTAAACCGGTTAGATTACCAAGTTGAGTAGGAATTGGACCCACATGTCCATTTTCCCTTAAAACAAGAGTCTGTAAAGTGGGGCCCATTAGGCCCAAAAACGGCGGAATGGGTTGCGGCTTGTCGGTAAAACACCGGTAGAAAAACAAGGTCCGGATATGTGGTAATTTGGTGATGGAAGGTGAAATATATGATCGGGTCGGGTCACAAGTTGGAAAAGCAGTGTCATCTGATAATGCCCCAAACGATAATGAAACAACATGAAAAACGTTGTTTTTATCTGGCATGCACTCAATCCCATGCCAACGTCCTCTACAGACATCCGGGATGTCAGTGGCCCAATCGTTTCCGGTAGCTTTCATGATGTCGTAAACTGCTTGTTGCTCATCACGGTCGGTAGTAGCACCATTGTTGTTTACGGAAAACCCTGTTTGAGGTGCATCTACAAGAGCAGATGGGACCCCTGAATCCGACATAATGACTGTAAACGAGAGACATGTAGGAATGAATAAAGTAAGGGTTAGGGTTAGGGTTAGGAGGATTGAAAGAAAGAGAGACATTTTTTTATAAATGGATTCAGAGAATTATTGTGAGAGTGAGGGTTTTTATAAGGATTGGAAGTACAAGAATTATAAGTAATAAAGGTTTTCACGAGGAAACGGGTATGTGAAATAAATGCAGGGTACATCAGTAAATGTACTTCACGAGAAATGCAATTTGTTATAAATGTTTGCAACTAGTGGGGTTCCATTTTTTTATTAGGATTTTTTGTGGGGTTTCCTTGTGCTTCTCAACGTCTCATTTTCCTTTATGTTGAGCTGATTCAAGTCTTTCATTCACTTAATAGTTAATAAGCACAAGTCAACCATACACCTTACACATTACTAAATGATAAAGGTAAACAAAATCAGTCTTGGACTGATCCCATATGGTCCGGTTTTTTCCCCGTCTTGGATGGTTTTTTTTGGTCCGGTATCGTCTGATAGTCTTTACGATTGTTGGTCTGTCCAAACATATTTAAGTATTTAACTATAAAATCAGTCCAGTTTCGTTTTTTTTTTTCGGTCTAGTGTTTTTTGGTCCATCTTTGCTTCATAAAATCATTATAAGAAAACTTACAAATTGTTTCATAAAGTTACATAACTTGTAAAGCACAAACATATTGAAAGAACATCTGCGGAGGGAAATTCTAATAATTGCACTTGTGTTGTTATATGCGTATTTCCGGCCGGATGTGGTGTTCGATGATGCATATTCTACCAGACAATGAAGTTATCGTCACTTTCTTATATTCAACACTGAAGTTATTGTCGCTTTCTTATATTAAACACTGGTGTTTGTATATTGCTAACATTCTTTCTATTTTCTCTTCAAAAATCTCATGTTCAATGTGGGTTAAGCCTTAATTAAATGACATTCCATAAAAATCATTAAGTTTTCACAAAAATTTGATTGACATTGTATTTTTTTTTATCTCAAATTGGACATTCATTTTACCAATTTGTTACAATTTTGACCACGACCACTTAACTGGTCAACCAAGTTGCATGTGACAGGTTGACATGACACTATTCTGTGACATCATATGTTAGGTAATAATATTGAAAAGAAATCTAAAATATAGTGACTTTTGGATGTTGATGAGAAATGTCAAGAATCACTTGAAAGGATGATAGGAATGTAGCTAGAATTTGCTACATTAGATGAAATTATGATCTTTAGTTATATTCATTCTGATATATAATGACTTAGTTGAATGAATGATCAATTTTTTTTATAACTTTTCAGAAATAGATAATGATTATAAATCATTAATGAATTTTTCAAAGCTTGTGGGCAACTATACAGTGGAGATTTTATCGGATATGAACTTGAAACCTAAAAAGGTACATATTCATTGTTATTCCTTGAATATCTAATAATTAATGTTATTAACTTTACGGTGGACTACTATCGCAACCAAACTTGGGACATTACTTAATATGGGTTGTCACATCATTTGCAATTTCACATCTCAAAGTTGGTGTGGTTGCATTGGCGTTGTCAAGTAATTGCAATTGTAATGAATCAATCAATCGTGGTTATCAACATCTAAAGCAATGTGATTATAAGGGTAAGTTGAGTTGTCTTCCTGTTGATAATACATAATAGCATCTTAAATTTCTTTTTAAGGTCAGCCTTCAATTCATTCCCATCAGTAGTATCACTTTAATTCAAAAAACAAATAATTCAAATATATTCATTTTACTTGTTCAAACCAAACCAAGTAGGGGTCAAAATAAATAATTAATAAGCTTTATGTTCATTTAACTTTTTGAAATGTCTATAAATAACCAAAACAAGAGGCCAATTATGAGCATGGAAATCATAAAAACTTACAACTTTATATTCATTCATATGACATGGACATATACATGCACATCAGCAGCAGCTTACACTTACTTACACATGACATGGACATATACAGAAGCAGAATGGCTTCTCCCCATATCATATGTTTCTGATTTTGAATAATTGCTTGCATATTATATGGATGTTGACAGAGACTAGTCTCATATGTCAGTATGATGTCTACTTAGGAATTTAGAGGAAACAACCATAAAGATAAAGATGCTTCAGTTTTCATAATTCGATACAACAATATTTTCTTACAAAACTAAAAACAAAAGTACACAGACACAGATCACTCATTCGTAAGTTATTCTGCAGAATGCAGGTAGGTAGGTGTACAACTCACTCACTGACTGACTGCTGCAATAATAATAATGATCGCATGTTTTTCCATCATCATATCATTGGTGTCACAGCTTATTCCTACAAACACATATACATCATGTGGTGTATTTCATAACATACAGTGTAGAAAGAAACCAAAAGGGGGAGATTCATTTCTTTTCTTTTTTATTAGGAAAAAAAAAACATACAGAATAAGAGGAGGAAATATGGACAACAATCTTCTTATTAGTAGTTAGTAGAGCAGTTCCTCAAATACAGGATCCACATTTTGTCCCCATTTCCCGTGGTACAACTCCAGGAGCTTCTCTGCTGGTGTTAAACCTGAGCATCACATCACATCACATGAGGCCAAATTTGTAAAAAACTTGATGTAATTTTCTCGCATCAAGAAAAAAAGAAACACCCTTACATACATAGTTTACAAATAAAAAAGAAATTAATATTGGGAAATCAAATAAGAAGCGTAATTATTCACCTGTTCTAACAACCTCCGTCACTTCATTTAAAAATCCTGTTTCCTTGTATCCTCTCCGCTCGAGCCCATCCTGCATACATACAACATACATGTTATATTTTTTTATTAAGAGGATTCGTTTTAGTAATATGATTAGATTGATAAGTAATTAGTTTACCTTTGCAAAATTTACAACTTCTTCAGCAACATGTTTCAGCAATCCATCACGGAATGGGGTTTTCAAACCACTTACAGGCACCTAATATTAATAATATTACTACATTGCATTGCATAATGAAATGAGAAAGAAAAAGAAAGAAAGAAAGAAAGAACAAGTTTTAGTACCTTATTTCTCAACATTAGTCTTTCTTCTGCAGTCCAATCGGCCGTCATGTCTAAAACTTTTTGCAAAGAATCATCATCATACAATATGCCCACCTGTCATTTTCCATTTTTATTTAAACAACAATACATATACATATACATATACATATACATATACATATACATATATACTAATACTGTTTATTATTCATCTGTCTGCATATTACATACCCAAAATGCAGGCAATGCACATAACCTCCTCCATGGTCCCCCATCAGCACCCCTCATTTCCAAATACCTTTTCAGTCTCACCTGTTCAATCCACCAAGTAACAAATCCCATGCCAATATTATATTATATCACAATACAACAGATTGATATATATAGCGTGTACCTCAGGAAATATTGTTGTGAGGTGATTCTCCCAATCATTCAGAGTTGGATATTCTCCTGGAATTGGAGCAAGTTTTCCTGCCAAAAAGTCCTGCATGCAAATTATCATCACACAGACATATAAATACATATACATATATAATATGTTTTTCAAATTTATTATTCAGCCTACCCTGAAGGACAATCCAGCACAGTCGATATACTTGTGCTTCCGATACACAAAATACATAGGGACATCCAGGGCATATTCCACATATTGCTCAAACCTGAGAGCAAGTCCATTACAATTTACAATTTACAAATTACAAATTACAAACAAAGGACAAAGTAAGTAACATCATAATATTAATTAATCAGGGGAAAAGGAAAGTTACCCAAAAGAATCATCAAACACAAAAGGAAGCATCCCAGCACGATTATTATCAGTGTCCGTCCAAATTTGACTAATTATATAATACAATTTAATTTATCAGTCTCGGTTTCTAATTCTTTCCATTCCATAATATTATATTATATTTGAAACAGAAACCTAACCTCCTCATGCTGAGATAACCATTCGGCTTTCCTTCTGTAAAAGGTGAATTTGCAAACAGTGCAGTAGCAATCTGATTCACATTCATTCAATATATATATACATAAATTCACACCCACAATTACTGAATTACAAAGCATACTCTACTCTACTCTACTCACAGGTTGTAAAGCAAGACCAGCACGGAACTTCCTTATCATGTCTGCTTCAGAAGAGAAATCCAGATTCACCTGCCAAGGTCATATGTGTAATTTATTAATTTTTAATTAAAAAAATAATAATAATCAAATCTAATCAAGAATTAGTTGTATTGTATGTAATGTACCTGAACAGTACATGTCCGGAACATCATGTCAAGTCCAAGAGTACCAACTTTAGGCATGTAATTCCTCATTATCTCATATCTTCCCTGAGCCAACAACATTCATTCAATGTCATTGTCATTCTCACCACCCACCATATCTCATATCTCATATCTATTTCTTTTCTTTCATATTTAGAATCAATTATTTTTACCTTAGGCATTATAGGTATATCTTTTCTTTCCAACTTTGGCTGGAAACCAATACCTATAAATCCAATTCCCATCTCTTCAGCAACAGCTTTCACCTGTAAAGTAAAGTAATTTCCACATCCACATGGGTATCATTTTCAACACATGGAATTATATAATCATTACAATTTACAAACCTGGTAAAGGTGTGAATTCACTTCTGCACAGGTTTGATGGAGAGTTTCAAGAGGAGCACCACTAAGCTCAAACTGACCACCAGGTTCCAGAGATATACTTTGTTTTCCCTGACATTAAATAGACCACATAGAATCAAACAGCAACTTAGGTCTTGTTTGGGTTCTTTAAATATGCAGTGCTGATTACCTGTTTAAGCCCAATTATATTGTCCCCTTCCATGATTTTCTCCCAGTCAAATCTCTCAGAAATAGCATTCAGCAGATCTGCTATTTGTCCATACGTCATAGGCTTCAATGTTTTCAACTCAAACCCAAACTTTTCATGTTCAGTTCCTATTCTGCAATATCCATAACATTCATCATTAATCAACACAGATACATATGTGCAAAATAAAATACTTAGCATAAAAGACAAACAAGTAAGAACCTCCAATTTTCCTTAGGCTTGCATCCAGAAGCAAGGTACCCCACAAGATCTCCTTTTGTAAGTGGGTCTGTAGCAACCACTGCATCCTCTGTGGGAGGACTTGCAGCAACAATTACTTGATTTCCTCGTTTGGATTTTACACCAATGGCATCTACATGATGCATCTTTTGGCTACTCTTGGAGGAGGAATCCCATGGAAAGGTAATGGTTGAGATCCTAGGTCTAAATGCACTCGTGTTGTTTACAGATGATTTACATAGCAAAATCTCAGTACGAATGCCATGGGATTGACTTGCCTGAGACATTAGTACCATTTTTATCCCTACAAAACACACCAGACACCACCACCAACTTGAGTTGAAAACTTACAAAAGTGAATACTAACAACATTATGCTTCAGTTAAAGAATCATAAGCACAAAAAAAAGGTTTGATTTTGGTAAGATAATGACATGTGGCACAACATAACAATCTGCAAAAAAAGTTAGCTGCTCAACGTGCTTTTCATACAACTATTTTTATTTCCTCTGACGCGCTCTTTTTTATCAGTTATCACAACCAAATTTTAGTATTTTGCAGCAACATATCAGAAATTCAGAACCAAACTTTGATTACAATCAAACATTGAAACGCTTGAAGTTACTAACTATAAAACCATTAAAGAAAGCTATAAGTCTGGTAACATTGAACAACTAACAAATTTATAAAAGATATATTCGAGATTCAACTATTGTAAAAGTTTACCAGTTGAGGAGAGGAGTGAGGAGGACGATGAAGATCAGAAGTACAGCTGGACAAAAAGTCAAGGAGGTTGGAGGTCGGAGGTCGGAGGTCGGAGATCGGATGGAGGTTGTAATCGCCGATGCTCAATGGTTGTGGGTTGGGCTTGAGCGATGTGACTCGTGACTCGTTACTGAGGAGAAGAACACCTTTGGATTTGTGAGTGTGATAACCCTAGCCCCTTTGCAATCCTCGTAATCACTCTTTCTCTCACTTGGTCACTCTCATAGTATGACAGTGGACAGTGAATGGCGAGAAATTTTAGGGTTCTTTATTGATTCCAATGGGGCATGAGGCGAGACCCACCCGAATAAAGATTTACGGTTAAAATCGATCCATCATCTTCAACGACGCCACATTGGACGGCGTATCCTACTTTACTACGTTGTTCAATCTTATTTTTATTTCTATAAACTAAATAGAATAAAACATAAAAAGAATTTAAATAAAATAACTATATTGTTTTTTTTTTTCAATGAGCAGCATACAATTAGCTTTTTTCTTTATTCGAAAGCCTTTTTATATGTAAAATAATGGCTAAATTTAGAAAAAATTATTAATAAACATCATCGACCAAATATTGAACCGACGTAAGTTCGAACCAATTCCAAACATATGATTCAGTACTTGGTTCCTATTTCACCCCAAATCGGTTTCAGTGTTATCTCATCTGATTTCACTTTTTTCACGAAATAATCGATCATGTGTCAATGCCAACAATTGCGTATGTTTAATATACGTAATTGGCACATGTTTATAAATACACATAAACAAGATACTACATAGTACATACCATCTTTTGGTGGTTAGTCATGGTGAATCTTTTGTTGTGTCTTGCTTGCATGTGTCTTTGTATTGGCTCAACTGTTATTCAACCACACTAAATCTATAAACCTATAAAACTCTTATCGGAACTATTATGATATCCACTTCTGACTTCTATGATTCTCGTTGCAATCATAGTGTAACATCCAGATTCGTTGAAGTATTTTATTTAATTTAGTTTCTGAATTTTGGGTGACATGGTGGAGACATCACCACGACGTGGCATGACTAAAATGTTTGCAGACCTTAATCTGGTCCCCACGGCGTGACATATGTAGGCCACGATGTGGCAACCATCTGATGAGAAAAACCATAACTTTCGGGTATTTAAAGGAAAGTGTGGGCTAGGTTTGCTCACCCTCAACCTCCATCACTCTCAAGACCGTTACAGCCCTAATCCTAACCTCTCTTGGTGATTCTTCGTCCATTTTAGTGTTCTTGGTGGTTTGAAGAAGAAGAAGAAGATAAAGAAGAAGAAAAAAATAAGAAAAAGAAGAAGGTGCTATATTGTGTGGATTCAGCAAGCAAGCCTCATCATTCTTCTCTTGTGCATTCTGTGGGCCTTTTTAAGTGTCCAATAACTTAGTTATATGTTGCTTGCTATTAGATCTAAGCCTTTTGTCCTTTGATCTTTAAATTGTGAAAGTTGGCAACTTTATGGATCCTCATGGTCCCTTTGAGGTTATATGGTTTAGATCTGAAGTTTCTTGCCTTATTTTGATTCATGCACAAATTTGGGTTCATTTTCTCATGTATATGACCTAATTTGGGAAGGACATGTATTGGACATGCATGTCCATAAAGCCACAGTTTTTATGGTTCACTATGTGTGGTAAAACCTTCTGGAACTTGAGAGAAGTGACTTTAGTTGATTAAGTGCTTAATGGGTGAGTACATGCTTTAGGTTGCCATTAAGGACTTAGGGTTTGAGATTTTGACTCTTTGGGATGCCTTAATGAATAAAGTTGGAAACTTTATTCATCAGGACATGGGGAAGGACCATATATGGGCTTTGGGGCCCTTAGATTAGGAAGAAAACAACTTAAGCACGATTAAGCTGTTCGGACCAGTTTTCACGATTTGGCCTTTAGGCTGCCACGCCGTGGCGACTAGGGTAGCAGTCGACTGTTTTGGCATTTATACTCCGTCGGCTAATTCTCACTTTATTTTTAAATTTATATTTTTAAAGGGCTTAGACTGTTAAAGTACGAATAAAAATCAAAACTCTTCCATACGAATTTCGTTCTTGACTGTCTTTATATCGACGAAATTGTATCTATGAGATCTTCAACTCTCATTTAGATTGTTTCGGATAACATACAACCAATTTCTATTTCGATTTCTGTGTCGCACACTACTACACTGAAACTTCTAAAAATCATAACTTCCTCATACGAAGTCAGATTTAGGCGTTCTTTATATGCATGGTCTTGCTTTTACGATTACTATGACTTTCATCACGACAATTTATCCTAAATAGTCTTCTATCAAAAACTTCTATTTACATAACTGGTGGTTTCTACTGTAAGGCGAAAATGGGGTGTTACAATGCATCAGTGCGCGACCCCGATGTTGTTACCTACCGCCTTCGCGGGACTCTACCACCTTGATCCTGGTATGATCATTCCTTACTCTCGTCCTAAGCATTGAGGAAAATGCTTAATTTTAAGCTTGGGGTGAGGTATTCTTATTCTTTATTTTGTTTACATTTAGGTTGTATATAGTTGCATGTAGAGTAATTCATTTAGGTCATTTAAAAAATTGCATAAAAAATTCAAAAATATTTCATATTTTGTTTTTTTCTTTTTAAATTTTCATACTTTTTAGTTGCAATTTAGTTTAGGACTTCATGCATTTTTGTTCTCTCTTTTCTTCTCATCCCTATAGATACCATAACGCTGAGTCATAAGTATTGAATCATTGATTGGTCTCGGGTCTTGATATGGAATTCATTGTGTTGGACAAATGAGACTCACTTTGAGCCTCACAAACCAATTTGAGACTACTTGTGTGGGGGTTAGATGTAGGGTTCTAATTAGGTCTAGACTCAGATGAAAGTGGTTAGTCAGGACGATGTGTGCAAGCAAAGATTAGCCCGATATGGTATTTTGGAGATATGGATGAATTGCATCCCGATTAAGGGGGGATACCCGTTGATGTTGTTTTGTCGTTTGGTGTCGTTTATGATCTGGGTCTTCATGTTCTGTTGTAGGATGTTGTTTGATTGCTTTTTGGTTGAATTCCTTTGTTCCTAACTCATTTCATTTGAACTAGAGGTGAGTTATTCTTGTGGTTGTGTATATACATATAAGAGAATTTTGCATGCTTTAGTATAAGTGTATGGTCTAGATTATTGTATGTGATGTTACAATCTAAGTTTTATGTGATGTTTGGGTTCTAAATTTGTAATGAATTGCAGTAACAGATAAATTAGGGGAGCTTTTGTATGCTAGACTCTTTAATGTGGTTAATTTGTGCATGAAAAGAGTGGTATGTTTATGCTAGTGGTGAGGATTTAATTTGGTGTTAAATATGTGAAGTTATGCATGACAATTATGTTATAACATGTTTTGCATGAAGTTAGGAAATGCATGCTAGAAAGTATGTTGCTAAAAGGTGTATTTCTTTACATGCTTATATATGATGCTATATAGTGAATTTGGATATATACCTTTGTAGTATGAGATGTGATGTAATATAGCTTGAATTAATAATTAGAATACAATCATGATTACATAATATGGAATGGCGATGTGTATGTATGACCTATGCAAGTGAATTAATTAATTATAAAATTAATTAAAAAAAAGGAATACATATAGTGGGGGTAAAATGGTAGTAACCTAAACTTAGGTGCGTGTCCTTATTGGATTTTGCGGGTGGAATAATATCGTTGGAGAAAAGAGATTAAGTCAAGTCGATGTCGAGTGGGTTTTTAGGTAATCATTTCGAAACATGGTATCGGTGCACATCGATGTACGGGGACTGGAGTGATGTTGGTTACTCAGTGTCGGATCAAGCTTCACGTTTGGGTGGGGTATACGTGTGAAAGTACCATTGTATAACCCTCGAACGACAACGCGTCGTGCTTGTACATACAAAGTCGGAGTAGTGAACACGAAGAACCAGAGACAATGTTACGGGGGTGGGAGTCGTGCCCCATTTGGTGCACTGGTCGTCAGGTCACATTCGTAGCGAACATGGTCATTCTTTTGGGGTTTAACAGTGTTATAGACCCTAGATATCGAAGGACATTCAAAGTAATTAATGCGAAGAAAATCATATAATAATTACTACGACAAAAATATGTCCAGATTAATATATACATTATATATTGATAATAATAAGTGATGCATGTTGATTGGTATAAATTGATTGCATGCCTAAACATATTGTATGAAGTATGTTTGTTTTCATACTCATGTGCTTGAGATTGTGCTTGAGATTGACTCACTGTGCTGATGTTGACACTAGTTTTTTTGCTTTTTTCTTTCGCCTTGCATTGGTACATGTAATGTGATTTGATAGCCTGGTGAGGTTGGAACTCTTTTGAGTAGTTACTCATAATATTACTTTAGTGATGATACCAATTTGAGACTTGTCGATGAGATTTCCTTTACACTTGTTTTGTGTTTTGGTATCGGTTTTGCAAACTTTAATTTTGATGGGTTGATTTTGAAAGATTTAAATTAAGTAACATTGATGTTATTTTCTAATAAATAAATTAAGACTTTCGTTGCTATAATTTGTTAAATGATGTTTTTAAATAAAAAAATTGAAGTGAAAAATCATGACATTACACAATCTAAGAGGCCGCCACCTATACCGAGTGGGGTGGTCCCACATTGGCTTTATATATTAATACATTTTCTTTAATTAATAAACAATAACAAAATAAAAAAAAATTGAAAAAGAAAATATAAAGGACATTGGTGTTTTTATGTATGGACCAAAAGCGCAATAAAAACAAAGTACAAGGACGGTCCTGTTGGATTAGTGTCTAAGGTTGTAACTATATTTGGTAAGTACTTGACCCGGTTATGCATGGTCCTTGTGGGTTGCCTTCACCATAGCAACTTGACATGATGATTTGTTAAGAGAGAAGAGATATTATTAATATATTATGAGAATAATATATATTTAAGGAATAATAATATTATTTGATTAATATAGGTCATATATTAATTGAGAATTAATTTGGTGACTTAAAGAGGTTAATTGAATAAAGGGCATAAACTGTCAAATGTGTGATAGTTGTATTTTGGGCTATGTATCCTTATGGATATTGGGGTGGACGAAATTTAGGGTTTGGGAACCTTAAATTCGTCCAAGCCTTGTATCTAGAAGGATCTTGGATTGCTTAGGGCCTAAGTCATTCAATTAGGGTTAAAGGAGAAACCCTAATAGCTCATAGTATAAATAGAACCCTTGGGGTGGAGAAATCGACACTCTTGCAAGCCAAGGAACCCTAGGGCCGATTTCTATCCTTCCTCCCTCTATCTCAAGATCATCTTCTTGCTAGTTGGTGTTTGTAAGCCATTAGAGGAGTGACAATTGTGACTCTAAGCTCTAAGAAGAAGAAGTATCAAGCAAGTAATTCAAGGTATTCTTTCAGATCTGATTTCATATGATTAGATTCAATATATTACATTAGATCTAGTATTGCAAGTCTTGGATTCAATGCATGTTCAATTAGAGAAACCTAGATCCAAGCAATTAGGGTATCAGAGCTTTGATTGATTTCTATTGAATTGATGCATTGGTTGATTGCTTGTTGCTTAAAAAATTCGATTTTGTGATTCTGACTGCTGTACTCGGCGAGTTCCACTGTGGACTCGGCGAGTAGCTCCAACTCGGCGAGTCCATAGAGGTACTCGGC